GTCCAGTCATGGAGAATGACGACCCTAAAAGAGTTTAAACAGGCAATCACTAACTGAGAATGACTTTAGATGCAAACCACTCAAAGCGTGGACGGAGAGCTCACCGGGGAAATGAGGATGTTAGGCGGAACTTGGTCTTTCGCACGCCCGGGTCGGTGTCGCGCCAAGCTCTGGCACACCGAGCCGGCCAGCTGACCAGCTGAACGTCAAAAGTGGAAGGGGGGAGGGAAGGGGACAAGCCGGAGTGCACTCGACGCACAGACAACGCCATCCCTCGGCACTGCCGAAAACCTTTGTGCGATGGGTTGCCTACGCGCCGGGCGCCTTGAACCCAAAAGTCACGGGGGACCGTGACACAAGAGCTATGGTTTGATACTTACATGCTTCATGGCATGTTACAACTTTGTCTAAATCATCAATGTGATAATAGTCATAACCAGAAGTACCTAAAACTTCAAAAGGCAAGTAACCAATGATTGGTGGTGCCCTGAAACAATATGATACAGCAAAATGGCATAGATGTAAAAATAAGAGAGTTACAGGCAAGAACTTCAAGTAAGACAAAAAAAAAAAAAAAAACTTACCTGTGGTCTAAAAAAAGAAACTTCCATTCAAGGCTATGCCTGGAGGTGAATTCACTCTTTACAGAATCAACAAGAGCCATTTCCCTGATTAACTGGGGTTGATGTAAACGGCCAGTGCCAACGAAAACAAGCCTGAAAATATTTCAGAATTGGAAGAGTAAAAAATAAGGCAAGAGGAAGGCACAAATAAAAAGGCATACACCATACCTTGTATCTGTGTCACTTGAGAAGCCACTAATGCACATTGAATTAATATTGTCTGCCTCATGGTTATCAATATCTGAGCCTGGGAATAAAGGGTGAAAATAAATCGAGAGCATTTCTCCAACGACAGAAACTACTCTTACACAGACTAATACTTACGAAAATATCCAACAAATTGGACTAGTTCATAAGTTATTTCACCTCGTGAATCTAAATCCCCTCTTCTTACATGACAAGTAAAGGACAGTTGATTTTCTGTGAATGAAAAACAGGATAGTTGTATTCAAAGTAGAAGACTAATAACCAGAGGTCTAAAGAACTCTTATACCTTTACTATTATCATAACTTGGATCAACAGATACATTAGGTTGAAGCATGAGGTTGTATAGGTCGGTTTGATCCTCTTCAAACACTATATCATACAAGGATGTGTTCAGAAGATCATTCTAAATGGGCAAAAAAGAAGAAATATATCAGCTTTCAAGAAATTTGACACTTTATCTGAAAGATTCACTAAAAAGGTTAAGATAATTGCTTACAGGACAGTGACCTAGGAGGGATGTGACACTTTCTGAGACATAAAATATTTTACCAGTGGCAGAAAATACAAGAATGAAGCCATCGACTGCCTACAAATATAATTTGGCATTAATATACAAATAGAGTATGATTAGAAACGTCCATAGCAACTGTTTCATACCTCCAAGACAAGATGAGTAAATTCCTCATTTGAAAGGAAAGATGGTTTCCAGTCTTCTTGAATTTCATGGGCTCTAGATCTCACTGATATTTCTAAAAAGAAAAAAAAAAGATGAAATATAATTGGATAAACATAATGAAAAATTGTTGATGAACCAAAACGATGCATTACAGAGCTACAAAATATCTTTAACTGAGAGGTGAACAAAAAGACTGAAATAAATCATTCACTCACACTTTGGGATCTAATAACCAAGTCTGAAACTATGTCTAGCTTTCTATGTCAAATAAAACTCACCATTATGATTTTTTAAAAATGAAATTGTTGACTTGAGAACAGTAGATTTGTCCATTTTTCTATTGTTAGTAGAAACCATGGAACTGAGTTCATTAATAAGCATGTTAAATTGATCTCGCCGTTTTTTCTCACTAAGGTTGCGTGATTTCCTGTGATTAGAAATTTTTTATCTTAGTAATTATGCAAAGAGGTTTAGAAATTTAAAGAAGCCTGAATTCATGACTACTTCATGCATTTGAACAAAAGTTTCGAATAGTGTTTTTATTGAAAGGATTAGCTATTTGACAAAATAGCTCATCAGATTCAGTATTTTTTTGCTAAGTTAGTATAAATTAGTTAAGTCAAAGCAGAATCAGATACATACAAATGAAAAAACGAACTCCAAACTTACCGTTTAGTATCATCCTTGTCATCAGTATCATCATCCATTGCATCACTACAAAAATAATTATTTGTTAATTATAGAAGGAAGCAATAGCTTCATATGTTTCTTAACAGAGACAATAATTCCAAAAATCAGTAATAAGTAGTAAACCGATACAAGAGCTCAACAAAACAAACTCAGCAGTACCAGTATACGAATGGGTACAATACTGTGCACACATTTCAAATGTGTTTACCGTAACAAAGAATTTGTTATAGCACTTCGTAAAAAGGCAATAAGTTCCAGCTGATTTGGAGTTTGTTGATACTCACTCTGATTTGCGATGTGCACTTTGGTTGACGTAACTGGTCATTGTGAGAACGGCCACAGATTCTTCTAATTCACGTTAACAGGTGATATTAGTACGTAGATAAACAAGCAATTTATGTGAACACAAAATGTTTCTCAAGCATTGACATGACGAGGTAAATATGCGATGTTTTCCAACTTTAACTAAGACGTAACAAGTAGTTTGGGCTCCGACATCTTAGCACTGTGTAGATCAGTACAGGTTATAAACTTGTTCGTGGGCAAACCTTGTTTTTCATTTACAATATAGAAAGCAAACTCTATCTATGTCGTAAAATTTCAGTTTTCTTATTTATAAAACACAAGTATTTTCATCCTCAAGATGAAAAACTAGACACAAAAGTAATTAAATTACCTGGACTTAGGTTTCGTGTAGTGGCAAAACGTTAGTCTAGAAGTTGTCTGCTACAAGGGGCGCGGAAATTTAAACGAGCGGAGTCGACCAACAAAGTAGGATTGCTGAAGTTGAAGACATCCTTCCCTCAACCTGATCCAGAGGAGTCTCTTTGCTAAATTATTTGGCCTGTTGCGTATACTCAACGAAAAATCAGGACCAGATGCATGCACGAAATCACGATATTTGCCAGACCAAAAGAACTTTCCTGTCTGACCTCGTTCGTTGCACACGCTTTTTTTACAAACATGACCCCGCTGAGCTACCATGCCCCCCCCCCCAAACCTCGGCCCCCTCTTGCTATCGCCCGGGCTGGACCACTGATAAGCCGCTTCCTCCAGAACCTCTCCCTGGCTGTGTGGTATCCGGCATGACTTGTGGCCACCTTGTTAGTGGCCTCCCAGCCAGAAACGCCGTCTAAGGTGACCATTTAAGCGTCTAGGAGGACCATTTAGACGTCGAAATAGCCCCCTTAGACGTCTATGAGACATGGTATTTCTGGCTGGCCTGGTGCCACGACACCACCGTGGCTGGTACTGTGAGTTCTATGAGGGCGTGCCTGTCACTGTGCTCCCCGTTTGTCCAGAGTAGAGCAAGCCGGGCATGCCGGGCCGAGGTCAACAGACTGGCAGAGTGGAAACTGAAACTGTCGAGGGAAGCTGCTTAGACAATATGCATCTTTCGTGACCAGAGTCTCGGGTTGGATGTTGTTATTCCGTGACGGTGGAGGTGACTGACTCTTCCCTCACGCCGCGCGATGCGCAGCCGATAGATTCCGCCTATCCGGGTCCGAGCGTGCACTGCTCGATCAATTTATCCCGGAAAAGAAATTAGAATCACGGGAACGCTGCTCGGGCACGTCGTAGCCGGAGGAGCCGGGCGCCGCGCTGCTCATGACGAATTGGAGCGTCTGCGCCTCGGCCTTCCCCCAGTCTTTGGCACGGGGCGCGGCGGCCCTTGACGTGAACCTGAGCCCCGGGACTGAGGACCGAAACTCCATCTCTTTCTCTCTGGCTGTCATTCGGGGCGAGAGGTGAATGGAAAGAAGCGCCCTGGCTGAGCTGCGAGCTCCGCGACAGAAGGGCTGCCCGTTAGGCTGCCCGGGGCCCGGGGGCGCCTCTCGGCTGCACCACCAGGGCCAGGGCCGGCGCCCGGCCACGCCGCTCAAGCTGATAACATCGAATCTGCTGGGCGCCTCCAACGCCCCGCCCTGCCCCGTCCCGCCTGCTTCTGGGAATCGCCTTATTTGTATTCCGGACATGGCCGGGCGCTATTCATTTGGAAACACTATATCGGGGCGACGGCGGCGGGGCGCGGCGCGAGTCGGACGCGCTGGTGTGTTTGGTGAGTAGCCCCCCCCC